TTTGACCTTGTTTTCGCAACATGGTCATATTGGTAGGAAGACTTATTGGAGCGCACCTAGTCCGGGGTCCTTTGTCTGCATGATTATTTGCAAAGTTGAACCGTAGACGTGGTACATTCCCAAACGTTTCGCCGGCATCGGAAATTTGGAAATGATCATGCAGACAATGGACCCCGGACTAGGTGCTTTCCTCTAAGTCTTCCTACCAATATGACCATGTTGCGAAAACAAGGTCAAACAACCTCTATATCACGAAAGGAGACTGCGACCACACAAAAGGCCACACCATCTTGGTCTTCATACCTTCAATTGCTAAGCGAAATTTAATGGCACCATGAGATCCATTCATCTCATTGTAAAGAGCTAAACTATCTCTCCTTAAATCACCTCAAACTTCCTATTGTGACTAATCTCTTAAAGAGGCATTACTGTTTGTCTCTCAAAATGATTATTTTGAAAATGGCAATTGTGTTTGCTTCACCACCACTCCCACTAGGAAATGTGATTTTGAGGAGCGCTGCCTGGCCTTGTACATCACAATTGCCCTATTGCCCGTTGGAAGGATACGTCAGGGTACTCATGACCCGGTTCACTACAGCCTCGATGGGAAAGTCTTTTGGGAGGCAACGCGATGTGAAATCCAATGGAATCGAGAATTTCTTGAATCACCTCAAGCCGCCTAAGATGAGCGGGTTCTTAGCCACGGATCTGTATGGTCAACTGATTTTCACTGAAACAATGTCAGCAACTCTTTATGTTGTTGCAGAGGCTTTTTCTCGCTTATACGTTGGTCTTCGAGACTACCAGTAGATGGGATATATGAGATGTGTTCACCATATTTCGTTTAAGGTGATGAATAAGTAGCAGTTAAATTCTCCCAAAATGATATAAGTGGGCAAGGTTATTTGAAACTTGACGGAAACTTGAGACCTTTTGATAACATTGTGGGAGAATGCAATCCTTCATCATCCTAAATGAAATAGGACAAATACGGCTCATATAAAAGCTTTATTACTGTCGTCTGTGAAAGTTCCATCCCTGCCGCTTGAATTTGATGAGAAGAAAACGAAGAGAGGTAGCACTAGGTGGTGTGGTAAATAATAGTAAAAAATAATAAAGCGCAAAATAAGGTAAAAACATCGTCTGCGAAGATGCGACATTGACGGTGTCATTGCATTGAGGCACACACGCAAATCAAGGGGCCGCATCCTATGCAGGTTCTTTAAGGGCTGTCGCAACGATTGCAGGTTGTCTCACTTCACTTTTCTCGTAGCCATGGCGGGATAGACTTACTCACAAGATGGGTAGGCATGTGATTGTATTTCCCTGACCAACTGCTCTGCCAGGCTTGGCCGATAGGCAACCCTTAGAGGGAAGGGAACGGATTGTACTCGTCGTTCCAATCAGGCCAAGTTGCATACTTCATGCCTTTACAAAGTGAACGGTTGCTGGGCCAAGCATGTTTGGTAGTCAACGCTGTCGGCAGAGTGCAAACTGGCCGTTCATGGCCTCAAATGAAATTCATGCTAATAACTGGCAGGGGTCGGGGTCGCCCAGAGAGCTGGCATGTACCCTACTGCTGTTTACACCGAAAGTCTGCGGCAGGTGTGGAGTGATGCTACGATCAGGTGGTAGGAATGTTCCACCCGCGGGAAGGTATGGCCATGCCGATTGGCTCCAGACGCATTAATGTCTGGAACGAGTAAAAGTTTAGTTGCTCCCCAGCTTTCAGGCAAAGGCCGAGTGGCGGCAAAGTGCAGTGTGTGTAAAGCTATGTCATTTGCTCATGGGACAGCATGTGGTCCGGTCAAAGATGGGAGGGAATGTGCACAAAATACTTCTGCCTCACCAGGGCGAGAAGACTCCCGATGAGACCTTTCGGATTAGGTCGACCCAACACAAAAGCCTCTTCTGCCGAGGGGAGAATTGGCCCAACGGGTCTGCTGGCGAATCACACCTACAGTCCGTCTGCCGACAGTGATCGAAGCAAAGGGTCCACTCTCTCATTTAATCTCCATGCGGAAATTGTTTGCTCTAATACGCCCAGAATTGACTTGTATTCTTGTACACATTTCCAAGACGATGGTTGAACGGAATCGGATGGCTGTTTGTGAGTTGTAGTGAAAACGAATCAAAGAACACTTTAAAATCACGATTAGCATTAGAACTTTCCCACACCTTTACTCTTTGTTTCTTTAAGAATAAATAAAATTCAACTAAGAACTTTGGTCATACCAGGTCACTCGAGGTGAAGCAAAGACTGATAGTCCGAGCCTCTTCAAGACTCCAAACGGGACGAGTATGCGCAAACTAGCGACAACTCATCAATCCGCAACACAGCGGAGGTCGCCACGGGGTCACAGGGTAGCTTTGAAGTTCATAGCAAGCCAGGCCTTCCCAAATTTACACGTAGAGTGGGATTGTATAAAATAAAAAACTTGTATTCCCCATTTAAGTAGCCTAGGTTACTTATGCTGAAGCAATAAATGATAATTAAACTTTCCCACATAAAAATGAAGCCCATATTTGGCCTCTTTGGCGAGGCGAGACCATACAGATGAGCTGATCACAATATCTACTGGGAGGTTTCGACTGTTCCGTGACTCTCTATCACTCGGAATGCACTGCTGGGCGAAAAAGCTTAGAATCCCTTAGAAAATGCGGATGAAACAAGACCCAAACCAGGCCTAGCACCCCTAAAACGAGCTGCTATTTATGTCTCCATTGTACTTATAAACAGCTCAAGATATTCTTGGTACTCATGAGCGCACTTGTAAACATGCTACAGCCTCCTTTGTCCGATGATTATACATACTTCGATAAAGGTGGGGGGCAGTATTTTTGGTCAATCCCAGCCGTAATGCCTAAGAAATATCCGCTCTTTCGTACCCATTGGAGAGTGTGAAACCAAAAGAGACCAGGATTTCTCAAATATCGGCTAAAGATAGTAGTTTAATGCAAAGAATAAAACAGGAAATTACAAATAAGTTCAGGTAGATTTTCGGCTACAATATATACATATGTATGTTTATATATGCTGGGCATCTCAGTACTCACAATGCCAATATAAATTATATTTACAATACAGAAGCGGTCAAATTAATGTCAGTCAAGTGAATGTACTAATTGATTTGTCATTACATCTCCAACTTTACTACATCATATAAGCACCCCCAGCCCGCCTGGAACCCAAAGAACAATTGGATATGCTCAAAATCAGTAACATAAATGCTCCTACAACACGACAAAATGTGCCTTCTGACTATGGACACATTTGAGCAGATTTTGATTCTCACTATTCCCGCAATCTAACACGGAAGCATATGTGATTTTGATAAGAAAGTTTCATCGAAATACCAAAATAGGTCAAGCTTTCTCTTGTTAATATTGTGCAAAATAATAAATCTAGGCTAACAAAAATGATCATTGCATATTTTCGTATATAAGTAAGTTTTCTAGACTATCAGTAGATCATATACAAGAAATGTATCCAACATACGCCCCAAAGGCAAGCAGCCAATCATGCCCAATAGGGAATAAAACGACCCATTAGCAAAACTACTCTGAGCTGTTTTATTCTATTCGTTAATAAGACTCAGGTTTAGTACAATCGTATGAAATGATTTAACGAAGAAGAGCTTTAGTCAGCCCAGGTTACATAAGAGGAGTGATAATTAAAGTTTCCCAACATTGGTCATTTAAATAAAAAATACCTATATCACGGAATAGTACAGCTTCATTGTGATTCCGTAAGACACACTGGCATCGTGGAGTCGACTTATTTCAGTGTTCAAAATTAAATTATTATTTGTTATACCACTTAAAACAGCCAGAGCCGTCTCAAATGTAAATAAAGCATAAATAACAAAGGACCTTGGGCCAACATTGATAAAAAAGACAGTTTCTGACGCTGCCAAAACATCCTAATGATGTGATAAAAATGAAAACGATATGTATGATTTTCTGCTTCATCAGAAAGTGAACTGATGAATAGGTCAATTTGTCTTAATATAGTAGTAAGGATAGCCCATGTCTAGAAGAATGCTTAATTATGGGAAGTATTTACAGATGGGTAGAATGATTTGTTTTGCAGGTGAATGGTCAAAACGACTCTTTCAGTCACACTCCATCTCTCTGTAGGTATGTAGAAAGACAGATTCTCGAAGATTCTCGATTCCATTAATAAATTCATGCTGGAGAAATTTCATTTCATTTGAGGGGGCGAGTGGAAGGTATTCATTTATAAGTAGGCCTCATATGAAGCTGTAGGGGGATTGTCTTAGAGCTGTGGTTCTAGACTTGTGCGAGTAGGTCCCGGAACACCACCCCGCAGCCCCAATGAATCCTTGCTGAGCCGTCATGCGACGAGCATAGTCAGAGCGAGACATCGCGCTATGCGATAATTCACCGAACACAAAGAGAAGAAAAGAGGCTGGCTTCAATCCTGCCTACTTATTATTGTTTGGCTAGACCCAATTCTTGAGACATTTCATGATTTGGTGGAGATCCTATGCTTCTCCGATATGCTGTTGAAAAGTGAAGTGGCTGCAAATGAAGCAAGACGGATGCAGCTATATGACCACCATTGCATCAGTGAGGTGAGGCCAACTTACTAATTCCTGGTGAAGAGATTCGAAGGTCGGTTCCACCATAAGATGACAGTGGATTCCTCTTGACCAACTGACGATTGGCTTTACTCGGAGATTCATGCTGACGCTGTTTCCGAGGCAATCTCCTTCGATTCCGGTGAAAAAGTGCTAAGTTTTCGTCCGTCGTATGACGAACATCATCAGAGCAAAGTATCATCGTCACAATCAAATTCAAGCTAACGATTCAAGAAAACTCGCCGGCAAATCCCTAAAAAGTGGTACATATAGTCCAAATCTGGCCTCTTTGATCAAGTATAAAGTGATTTGGTTAGTTACGGTCATATGTCAACTTCGATGCATGTGATTGTGTCTGTCTATCTATTTGTATTTGCCTGTGTGTTCACTTATGCACGAAACCCGCAGTGATGGCTCAAAGTAATTAGGAGAGCAAAAAGGAACGTCTGTTTTTGGTTATCAAGGTTTGATCACCCTTATCTCCCCCTTTATGCATACAGGTTATAACCATCACTCTGATTGCGCAAGGTTTTGTTGCTGAGCTTTTTTTTTGTTTTTGGTCTCAATGCGAGAGAGAAAGAGTGAGCTAAAAGTACGAAGAAGTGACTATGATTCGAACATAGACAAGAAAAGACTACTATTCATATACGAAACAAAGGAAAGACTAGTTGCGTCGCCTCCTTTTTGCAGGCGGCTCAACTCCCTCTCTATCCTTCAGTCTATTAATTATGCACAAATAATGTTTACTTATCTTCTTGCCAGTATTCCTTACATTCAATGTGTTTCCTATTCGGTTTATTTCGATGGCTTCTCTAAGTTTGCGTTTAGCCGCAATATGACGGACGAAAGGTTAGCAACTTTTCACCGGAATCGAAGGAGATGACCTCGGAAACAGCGTCAACATGAATCTTGCAGTGAAGCCATTCGACAGCTGGTCAAGAGGAATCTGCCGTCGTCTTCTGGTGGAACCGACCTTCGAATCTCTTCACCCAACACTTTCACTCGAAATGGAAGTGGGCTCAACAATTATGAAACAGGGGATTCCTCGAAATCCAACTTTTCTTCGCATATATTACGAATTGCTTCCACTCACCTCCTAAACGAAATGAAAGCTATTACAACACTTGATCTCTCATTGAATGCATATATTCATCAGCTTGCGATTACATACTAAATTCAGACCACAAACCATCACATCCAGAGCCAGGTGAACCTAGCCACGAGTAACATTTTTGCTGCATACTTGGGCACGCCTATATTGGAGGACAATACCATTCGATTTGTGTATAACATGGTAGGCAACGGATGCAAAAACGTGAAAATATATAAACTCCTCCAGTTAATCATACTCCAGGGAATAAATGGAATGACAACAACCAGTTTTTAACGGGACTACACATGTTCAGACTTTCGGCAATTTCAGACGATATGAATGTCTTAGGGCAAAGATCACGCGTCTCGGCAGGAAAATATTGTATTAAATTCCCCCAAATAGTAGCCATTTTGACTCATTTTATGTGTATTTAGCATCCACAGGTAGGAAAAGTCGCATAAACGTAATGATAATAATTTGAGAGACGAGATAATACCAGGACTACGCGTTCCAATGGTACTTTGCTCAAATATAACTCCGATTCAGATGGATAATCCGGAAATGCCCTATTTTAAAATGATAACAAAATTCCTTTAAATGCCATCTTCAGTTGATCTGAAAATAGAAGCTCTTTATCGTCGAAACAGCCCTGATCCTTTAATTACCGTCTTCCAACTTGGACGAATCTGTGCTGAAGCATTATTTGTCATTTAAGACACCTGCTTCAGGCACAACTCTGAGATTAGGCTAAATCAAGAGATGAAGTTAAAACTATGCTTAAATGAACATTATAAAGAGTTCAGCTAGAACCTGGGTTTTAGGCATAATTAAACCGTCTAATGTAGATTTAAAATATTAACTAAATTTGGCCCTCACTATGCACTTACGGAGCACCAAACTACTTGCGTACCAACCTAGTTTAAGCCTTGTATGGGTGAAAGTGGACCACAGATTGATTGGTTCATCCGAGATTGAAAGATGAATAGTCAACACCTAAATGGATA